ATTTTTCAGTGAAACCTGGTATCCATAATCTACAGAATCCTGCGCTTCCCAAGAACTCTCTGAGCCCTCTGGCTGAGGTTGGTGGGGGGATAGAGTCTACTGTCTGTTTCCTGCTTTCTGTCAGCCAACATTGCCCTCCCTCCAACCTATAGCCCAAATAGTTCACCTGCTGTAGGCATATCTGGGCTTTCTTTGCTGAGGCCCAGTATCCAAACCTGGTATCCATAATCTACAGAATCCTGCGCTTCCCAAGAACTCTCTGAGCCCTCTGGCTGAGGTTGGTGGGGGGATAGAGTCTACTGTCTGTTTCCTGCTTTCTGTCAGCCAACATTGCCCTCCCTCCAACCTATAGCCCAAATAGTTCACCTGCTGTAGGCATATCTGGGCTTTCTTTGCTGAGGCCCAGTATCCAAGTTACCCCAGTCTCAGTAGGAGAGCCTCTGTACCTTGCAGACAGCGAGCTTCTGTCTCTCCTGCTAAGAGGAGGTCATCCACATATTGAAGAAGCATAATCTGTGGGTTTCTTACCCGAAAGTCAGCCAGATCACGGTGTAGAGCTTCATCAAACAGAGTAGGGGAATTCTTAAACCCTTGGGGAAGTAGTGTCCAGGTTAGTTGCCCTGATATTCCAGCTTCAGGGTCCTTCCATTCAAAAGCAAAGATGGGCTGGCTAGCCGGGCTCAATCTTAGGCAGAAAAAATACATCCTTCAGGTCAAGTACAGTATACCACCTGTGACTGGGAGGCAAGGTACTCAGGAGATTGTAAGGATTTGGAACAGTGGGATGTATATCCTCTATCCTCCGATTGACTTCTCTTAAGTCTTGGACTGGTCGGTAGTCATTTGTTCCTGGCTTCTTTACGGGGAGCAGTGGGGTATTCCAAGGGGACTGGCAGGGGCGAAGTATATCTAATTGTAAAAGTCTCTGAATATGAGGTCTGATTCCCTCTCGAGCCTCTCTGCTCATAGGGTATTGTCTGATTGAGACCGGAGTTGCAGATGGTTTTAGTGTGACCACTATTGGAGGCTGATTGCATGCCAGTCCTGGGCCTCCTGTCTCGGCCCATGCTAAAGGGATTTTACTTAGCCAATCAGATATACCAGGAGTTTCTGCTATCGGTCCCTCATACAACCGATGTTCATCCTCCAGTCGCAGGGTTAATACCTGTAATGGAGCTCCATCTTTTCCATGTACAGTGGATCCCTTTTTAGTGAAGTGGATGTGGGCTCCTAACTTGGAGAGTAAATCTCTCCCAAGAAGGGGATATGGACAGTCTGGGACCAGTAAGAACGAGTGAGAGACTTGTCCTGTACTGAGGTCCACTTTTCTTTCTGTAGTCTACCTATATTTCTTCCCTCCAGTAGCCCCTTGGACCCAGGCTGTTTTGGAACTCATGGGTCCCTTGGTTGTTGTCAAAACTGAGTGTTGAGCTCCTGTGTCTACCATGAAGGTAGTCAATTGCCACCCTATCTTCAAGGTTACCCTGGGCTCAGGGGGGAGCTCCTGGCCCAGACTCCCCTAGTCTCCTAGGGTCAGGACTGGGGTTGTCTTTTTTTGTAGTTTATTTAACTTCTTTGGGCATTCTCGAGCCCAATGTCCTCTTTCCTTGCAGTAAGCACATTGATCTTTGTCCACTCGGGGTCTTCTTTTGTCTCCCAGGTCCCTATCTGGTCCTGTTCCCTGAACTACTGTGGCCAAAATTCGACTTAACTCTTTGTTTTTCTTTTTCTCTCTCTTATCTTCTCTGGCTTCCTGTTCTTTCCTAATTCTGTCCTCTCTTTCCTCTAAGGTCTCTCGCTTGTTGTAGATTTTCTCAGCTTCTCTTACTAAATCCTGTAAAGAGTACCCCTGAAGACCCTCCAGCCATTGGAGCTTACCATGGATATCAGGAGCTGATTGCCCTATAAAGGCCATAATAAGATCCGCCTGACGCTCCTGGGCTGTGGGATCAAAAGGGGTATACATCTGATATCCCTCTATCAGATGTTCTAAAAATCCTGCAGGGGTTTCATTTTCTCCCTGGGTTATAGCATGTACCTTTGCCAAATTGGTTGGGTGCCTTCCGGCCCCTTTGAGACCCACTAACAGAGTCTGGCAATAAAGATGGAGATGCTCCCTACCTGCCACGGTTTCAGGGTCCCAGTTGGGTCTGGTCAGAGGAAATCCTGCGTCTATTTCATTTGGGAGCTGAGTGGGTCTCCCATCCTGCTCAGGGACGTTTTTCCGGGCCTCTAGGATGACTCGCTGTCTTTCCTCTGTGGTTAGAAGTGCCTGGAGGAGTTGTTGGCAATCTTCCCAAGTGGGTTGGTGGGTAAGAAGAATAGACTCAATTAAAGCAGTTAGAGCCTGAGGGTCCTGAGAAAGAGAGGGGTTATGAGCTTTCTAATTTACAAGTCAGAGGCTGAAAAAGACCAATACTGGATCTGATCCCCTACAGTTCGGAGAGGAAGAACCTGGGCAGTCCCAGTTCAATCAGAGGGGCCCCCTCTATCTCTTCTCAGGCGGAGTCTACTAGATGGCAGGGAGGAGTGATCAGGTTCAGTGGAATCAGGAGATGGATGAGGTAGTTCTTGAGGTAGAGGTGCCTGTGCAGGAGGATAGGGAGGTGGGGGATCAAGGAGGGTTAGGGAAGCTGGGTCCTCGGGGAGGACTGGCTTTTGCTTCTTCTCAGAGGAAGATTGAAGGGGCAGGAGGGAGGAAGTGAGACTTAGGGGTGCAGAAGGGGTAGGGGGGCCCTGATCATTCTCTCCGGTTCCCCGAGGAGGTAGGAACAGTCATGCCCAAGATGTGGGGTTCCGAACCAAGTCTTCCCAGGTGACTATGTAGGCCACCTGATCCGGGTGCCCATGTGGCCCTGGATGGAAAATGTATTCCTTAACCTTCAAAATAGTAGCAAGATCAAAAGTCCCATCCCTTGGTCACCCTTTTTCAAAGGAGGGCCATGTAGAGGAACAGAGACTCTGCCACTTCTTCTTCTGGACCTCTAATGATAAATTACGGGCTCGTTCTATAACTTCCTTCCAGTGTTCTAGAGTTAAACTCAAGCAGGTAATTAGTAATTGACCCATGGTGAAAGACTTTTAGGAGAGAAATGGAGAAAAGGAGGAAGAGAGAAAGAGAGAGAGAGAGAGAGAGAATACAGGTGCCACTCCAAACAGTATGACCACTGAGTGTGCTTGTGGACAAGTACCTATCGGTGCCCAGTTTTTCTTCTGCGGGGGATGTGAATTTATCTGGGATTCACTCCTGGGACCCCCTTATCCTTTCATGGGAGTCTTTTAGCGGCAAGCACCCTGTGGCTCTTACTTGCTCGACCCGTGCCCGCAGGGCTTTTTAGTGGCTAGAGAGAAAGGAAGATATAGAAAGACCATCCTGTCTCCACCGATGTGGGCAGTCGGGGTCCGCCAAGAGGGCTAAGAGCCTTTGGTTTACGTCAGGGAGTAGCCCTGACCAGAAAACCTCAATTGCTCCTTCGCCTTTAACGGTCCTTTGTGAAGACTTGGACCAAGAATAAAAGAGAAAAGAAGACAGAGAAGGCTTAAAATAGAGAGTGTGGAGAAAAATACAAAACCAGACCTTCCCCCTTTTAAGATACTAATACACTATCAAGTATGCACACACACCGTGCTACATCACATTCAAGTGGACCGGTCCTTCTTACACCCAGACACACATGGCACTCATTCTTGTTTTCAGGATCCCCAAGTACAAACACAGATAGACAACAAGAATCCTCGGCGCGCTCTCTGACTCAAAACTGAAAGTACAGATCGGGAGGGGAGTAGCCAAGCCAATCTCCCTTCTCCCTAGGTGAGGAGACGCTGTCTTCCTCACTTCAGATCACTCAGGTCACTAGGGCCAGAATGTTGGAACCTGGGGTCTCTGGGCACGTCTGCCACCCCCACTGGTTCCCAGAATACAGACTTACAGGTCCTGTACAGGCACAACTGTTCAGACGGAACGTTCCCAGAGCAGGAAATGACTGACAGACATTAAGACCAAGACAAACCACAAGACAAATATTCTTACCTCCTGCTGATCTGAGGAAATGGGTCTGGGGGCGACCAAATCCCGGACGAGCCCCCAAGTGTAGGCCCCCCCCCCCAGACTGGGGTACCCTACGTTCACGGGAGGTCGCACCCCAATAACTCAGTCCTCAAACCAGTAGATGCAATAGCATGAGGGTTTATTGATACGTCTATAGGCGGGCTTCCACCTTAATCAAAAGGGGAAGCCCAGATTTATTATTTTGTCTATAGACGGCCTTCCACCTTGATCAAAAGGGGAAGTCCAGATTCATCTTACAAGCTTGCTTATATAGACAGAAACCACAAACCACAAGCAATTAGGTCACAGCAGCATTCAGGTCACAGCAGAAGTGGGAGGGGGATTTTTCGGGTATTTTTCCAGCTTGGGCAAGGAAGCATGAAAAGGTCATCTTTTCTTCTCTTCAGTTAGAATTATTTTCCTTTTACTTCCTTGTACAGCTTCCCAGAATATAGCCTGGGAGACTTATTTTCAGTTCACTTTAATCTGGGGGGGGCTCTGATTTGATTCCATCAATCTGTGGATCCTAGCACCAAATCCTTATAAGTGAGTGCATATCCTGACGCAAATGCAGGGACCAGGAACATGGAAGGAAAACGGGGATGAAAAGGTAAAGAAGGAACCCAAGAGAGAAGAACAGTAGGATAAAGGTGTTATTAAGGGAGAAATATGTAAAAAGTGGGTAGTTAAAGGGGATGGGTGGGGAGAGAACTATACAAAGAACTATGGGAATAAGAGGAGGAATAATTTTCCAGATACACATTTAAAAAGCCTTAAACACAGAAGGAACCCTCCAGAGATGGAAGAAAGCCCTTCCAAAGCAAAACAATTGTTAAATGAAAACCCCAGTGTCAGAGATGGGTTGCCCCCTATGAGCTGTTGGTCTGAGGGACACTAGACATCACCAAATAATAAAGTCCATTGCCAATAATGTTGATTGCACACCAGAAGTAGATATAAAAGCCCTATTGCTGAAGACACTGCATGATGTGAGCATGGGAGAGGGAATTAAGCTTGGACTAATTAATCCACCCACCCACAGGATGGGTGGCTTTCATGGTCCCAAATGGCAACATGCAGATGACTGGGGGAGAATAGCCCTCTATAAGTCTCCACAACAATGGACTTCACGTGTTGCACTATCAACATACCAAACAATATGTTCCTGCTGGTGCAATAGTGGAGCCTCTAGTGAATGTACAATCATCAAATTTTCGATTGGATATAATGCTCTCTCCTATGGGCAGAACACACATCTGGTACTGGCCAACCCCCTGTGGCATGGTAGCATATAGGTCTCAGTGGGAAGTCACTGCAATTGCTTTGTTAGATGGAAATGATGCACCTGCTAAAGTACCGACTAAGCATTTGTGTTTACACACATAGGTAAAGTTATTATAGCAGTCACTGTTTAGATGTTCTTGCTTCTTGGTGTGTGTTTTCATAGTAGATGGAATCCCATTCAAACTGGCCAACAGCCTACAGGTGATGCAGAGACCTGAAAGGTCAGTGCTTTATCACAACAGAAGGAAGATTATCCCACACCTGCACCCTGCCCCGCAAGGCTCAAGGACTTTTGCAGAAGAGGTTAGCAGGAGGAATGTAAGAGCCAGAGGAAGGGGTGGAGTATGAACTGGAAATATCCTCCAACCACTATGCCAGCAAGCTATAGTCACACCTCCTTTCCACTCTCATCAAGGAGCCAAAGGGGAAATCAGTTACCCCTCCCACCCAATCAATCAACCTTAGATGCATGTGGGGGAGGGTCAAAAGATATATATAAGCAGAGAACACCAAGAGGCACCTCTCTCACTATTTTGTTTGGCCATCATGAGGTCATAGAATCTATATTTAAATGTGGACTTTATGGTGCAGTGGGGTGCCCACTCTTCTGTAAATAAAGCAATGCCCTATGCTCTCTTAAGTAAATAATAAATAAATAAATAAATAAAAATAAATAGCAATATTATTTTAATTTTTAAAGATGAATATGGACCTATGGAATATTAAGGGAAAAATAAGTGTTGGAAAAATGTTATTGGTTTCTTAGTTTATTAAATTATAGTATATTCTCCCTCTCTTTAGGTTAATAAAGGATATCTTTTTCTCCAAAGATAGATGTCCATGTTCAGTATTAGAAAACGGTGACTTAGAAGAAAACATAATAAAAAAATTAAACTGTTTTTTTCCTTGGCTACTTTATCATAATATCAGTATTTGAAAGATGAATCCCACCTGACACATGTATAGTCCATCAATCAAAATAAAGATTGTACAATGTAGACTTTTAAACACTTTTGTGCACATTGTTCTGGAGATTTTCAAAAGGTGAAGAGACATGTTTGAACCAAATTTCCTTTCTAGTTCATATTCATTTCCATTTTCTAAGACCAAAATATCAGTTCAACAGAACACAGTCCACATACAAGGAGGGGTGGCCTAATAAGTCTCAAATGTGATATGGATGGAAAGAGTCTGAAAACTGTCAACAGTCTAATGAACAGAAGCAGAGTAAAAGTAACATCATTGATTCAAAGATATGAGTGATCAAAACATCTCAAGCTACTGACCTTGAAACATCCATGAGTACGAGATGATAGTCACATGGTATGAGCAGAGGGGCAGCAGTGTCTAACAGCCTTTTTAGGGTTAAGGTTTTGTCATTAAAGGAAGAATGAAATATAGCATTTACATTTTGTATTCTTAGCTTATTTGATCCATATTGACTAAACATGGAAGCTACGGATATATGTGGTGATAGCCATACAGTCTTACTTTCTGGGTTATGTTAGATTCTTTTCAATGCAAATTTCTTCAGTGTCATTATCAGAGACAAATAGCAAGTCTTAAGGAAGCAGTAGCAGATAATAAAGAAAATGTTTCATCGGATTAGTTCACTGACATCTTGCAGAGTTCAGGACAATAACTGAATCACAGACCAGCTATTGTTTAGGAATCAGAAAAGCAAGGGCACTATGCTGTTACGGAAGTAGGTGGGACCATCTAAAAGCATGTTTTTAGAAAAGTAAAGTGTGGTAGTTTGAATGAATGTCCCCAGTAGGCTCAAGTTTTTGAACACTTGCTCAGTTGGTGGCACTGTTTGTGGTGGGTCATGGAACCTTCAGAAGGCATGCCTTAGCTAGAAGAAGCATGTTACTGAGTGCAGACTTTGAGCGTTCATAAGCCTTGCCCCACTTCCAGCTTGCTCCCTCTGCTATCTGTGCCTCCTTGAAGATGGAACTGCTCAGCTTTCTGCTCCTCCTTCCTCCTGTCATGCCTCCCTGCCATGATGGACTCTGATCCCTCTGGAACTGGAAGCCCAATAAACTCTTCCTTCTATAAGTTGTCTTGGTCATGGTGTTTTATCACAGCAACAGAAAAGTA